TGGACAAGCCTCAAGACGTTTCCGTACCAACAAAATAGTGCTATAAATTTATCTAACAACATTCCCAGCCCATCTCAGTTGCATTGATATCCTGACAGTTCTAGGTGGTCTCTATAAATTTGGAGATTTCGCGTTATGTAATATGAATTTACCCCTTAATTTGTCTTAGGTAGTCTAGCGGTGGTCTAGCGGTTAGAACGCTGGCTTTGTAATCCTGGGGTCTCGGGTTCGCTTCCCGGCGGTGCCCGCATTTATAACTTGTGTTGGGCAAGGCCTTGGTCTAGGCAACACGGAGTTTTCCTCCGTGGCATCCCAACAATTACTCCATTCACACCCAGAAGAAGGCAATGGCAAACCACTTCTGGATCATCTGCCAAGAACGTATATGAACAGGTCCCAGTCCGAGAAAAGGATGGAAGGATCCTGTTCATATGGACCTGTCGTCAGACAGAACACTACTAATAATAATAATAATGTGCAGCTCTCGTACGTAAATCAGCAGACGAGATACGAATCAAGATTTTCTTTCAAAATCTTTCGCAGTAAAGAAAATAAATGAGCTTAAAGTAAGTGTTAACAAATTAACAAGTAATTTCAGGAGCCTAATTACAAGTGGTCACGGACCGGATATGGCCCGCCAGCCGCCTGTTGTACTACGATAGTCTAAAGCTATATATAAACCACAACGTTGTCAAAGGTACTTTTAATTCGATTTGTTGTTACTTTAAACGACAATAGGATATCGACAGTAATTACGTAAAGCAAATTAATTGTAAAATATTTCTTAATTTTAATATACGTCCCATTAGGTCCATAGTTTATCTTTCGACAGACAGAACGGCACCAAATATGTTAAAATATCCTGCGAGCTATCATTTTTTTCAGTGAAACTATACTTTAAGTCCATGAAACTGAAAACTTTATGACAACCTGTCACTCAACTAGTCAAGAAAATCTGTGCCCTTCGTGGTATTCGAAAGTTCATTTCTCTGTTCAAAAGAGACCGCTAGAAGTTAAATTCTGGCGAAAACTTTCAAACTTGTAAAAACTGTCGTGAACTTCAATAACTTTGCATTCTTAACCCCGGCGGCCCAGAACTAGATAAGAGGTTATGAATGCGAATACACAAGTCCTAGAAAATTGAAAACCCCTTTTGAAATCTGAAGTAAGAAGTGGGAAGTTTCTCGATAAATTACAATTATTTCTATCAGACCTAAAACTCACAGCTTACGTTACACAATTGAAGTGATCTTTTGAAAATCAGCCAAGCTACACCACCAACTGCTTGCTCTATTGTGCGTTACTAAAATTTATAAACACCTTGTACTTAACACTTCTAGTATTTCACTGCAAAATAATAATTAGCGTGACTCACGAACTTTCTACGTCTCCGCCCCTTTGACTCCAGCCACAAGATGCAGTAACTGGAGTTAACTAACCTGAAGGAGAAACAGATTATTCACAGCTAAGCACTTCGCTCGTTAGACCTACATTAACTTATGAAGACCTATAGTAAGATGAAGACGGCAGTGTTCTGGGATATAGTCTCGTAGAAATTTACCGACGTTTCGGACAATCCTGCTGCCTCTATCATCAGGGTGATTACTACAGCTATAAATATGGGTCACGATGGAAGGTGTTTATCGAACTAAATGCCAGTGTAAAAAGGGTTTCCCAAAGAAAGATTAACTTCAGACACAGTTAGTCATTTCAAAATTTTCGTAGAACTCCTTGGACTGGGGATCAGCTAGTCACAAGGTCTGTACAGGACATATAAAAATTCAGACAGCCATAGTTCAAGCGGGATTCGAACCCAAGATTTAATTTTCCGATGGACCAAAACCGTAGGTGTCAAAGAAAGCGTAACCCCTGTGAAAAGGAGGAGAAAATAGATAACAAGATTCGCGGGGGGGGGGAAGGGGGGGGGTTGAGGATGGATTCTGCACATCTGCATACAGCCTTTGACAAAGACGCTAATTTGTTCGCAGTACGGCATGAGACCCATTCTAATGGCGGCGTGGCATGGTCACAAGGACGCCGTACAGATGCTCATCAACTGCGGAGCCAACGTCCTTGCCGTAAACAAGGTAAGCAGTGAAGGAATTAATCATCTCGTTTATTAGGCGTAACTTAATTTCTCCAGAGAGGATAAAATATGCGATGAAGTTAACTGGATGAATCTGAAACTATTGAAACAGGCCATCGCGCAATCTGAACTCAAATTCTGAGATGGAAACCTTTAAAAGTATTAATTAACCCTGTTGTTGCAGAGCTCAAAGCTTCCAAGAAGCTAATATCAAAATTCGTCGTCCATCTCCCCAAGAAAGACCCCTTTGAAAATATTATTTGTTGGTACAATTACGTAATTAGGTAGCGACATTCCGTCAGTATGTTTTTCTACCAAAACCTCTCGACTGATTTCGATTAAATATCGTGATAAAGGTCTACAGGCAATGTTATCGAAACAGCATAACTGTACTGCATTCTAATGTATAAACTGATACTAATTTCAACCAAAATTGGTACAAAATTGGCATTATCAATAATACAGATTAAGAGAGTAAATCTTATTTTTTCTTAAATTGTCAACAGTCACAGCTTGCCAAAACATTAGAAAATTAAAACTTTCAAACAAGAAGGTCTTCCAAATAATATTTAAAATTTCAGTCCGTACCGCAAAGAAAACACTACACTTCATCATTACAAAGATAAAATTATTAACACTGTTTAAAGAAATAATCCCTGCTTATAATGAGAATCATACGAAATCCACGGGAAAAATACAGAGTCGCTGATTGTTAAGACAGGTGGTAAGTGTACTTACCACCGGGCTTTAAAAGATTTAAACGTAAGAGAATATGAGAGATTGTATTTGCATGCGATGCCTTGCGGTGTGTGAAAATCTATATTTACCTTCTTTTACAGAGCTGTTTGCTTCAAATCGAAACAAAATCAAACTCTTTGAAGGTGCTGTTGAGAATCAGGATAAAAGTTGTAGGCTATTAGTCAAGCGAAATCACGACTGCCCTAAAACATTTTAACAAACTCGAAGGTGCCTTAAATATCGTCTAAAATCCATTTGGAAATATTTATGAAATTCTCCGATTATTTCAAGGTCTACATTCTGGTGGACTTCGAGGTTCGGAAGGAAGCCTGTTCCTTAGAAAAACTCTTTCAGTGAGAACGGCGTGCATCTCTGTCCGTTCATTAATTCAATTACGTACATGAATGTAACTGACCGATTTTCATAAACTTTGCTATGAACACCATTCCATTGGAGATCCCACCATCTAAGCACGTCATGTCATAAAAAATACATACTAATGAATTTAAAACAGAATTTGAACTCTCTTGCGGATGGATCTTCACTCAACGCATGTGACTGTGGACTTCAACATATTTAGCGCGTTTATCTGTTGACAGAAGACAATAAAATGTCGTTATGAAAAATCTATAGTCTTCTTTATCCAGCTCGTACAGGCAGAGTGCTTCACGGAGCATTGCGCATCGCGTGGGGCTTGTTGCCCTGCCAACGAGCACCCAGCTGAAAAGGGCCCCAGGAAACAACCGTATACAGTGACCAGATTAATTAATAAATTGCCGCAGAGGCCATCTTTATGTCTCGAACGGCGCTAGTCGGTTGCGTTTCTAACTGTAACATACAGGCAGGAAGATTCTGGATGCTGCAAGGAAACGTAAGATGTACAGAGAAAAACAGGTTTTTTTTAATACGTCACAGTCTCTGAGTACAGGAATGTATATTCCCCAGATGTACTCTACTTCTAAAGGCCTACTGTAACCTTGCTGCTTGTCTTGCAGAAACACCACACGCTCTTGATGTGCGGGTCCCGTAACAACCGTTTGGATGTCGTGGATTTCCTACTGGACACGCTGGAAGACATCAAGGTTGATGCTGTGGACCTGGAGCAGCAAACGGCCCTCTATCACGCAGCGCTGGGGGGTCACGTCGGGATTGTACGACGTCTCGTGGAAGCGGGGGCAAAGACGGAATCGAGAAACAAGGTGATGTCAGTGCAGTGTTCGTAGTTACTGGAACCGCTCGCGTGTTTTCCAGAATCTACACGTGAAATACGTAATAATTTAACTTGGTGAGGTTTCGGGGCTCTCTTGACGCCGAGCACAAAATTTGACTTCCTTTATATGAGTGCAAAACTTGATTTGTCTCACTGAAGGAAATAAGAAACTTCAGTCTTTGTACCTTTCTTCCATCGTACTTAGACTCCAAGTTACAGAAACCAAGGTCATCGGAACTTGAACCCAGGACACGTTTTCGGATGTTTTAGCCTTTGTTCTTTGTTCTGTTCTTCCTTTGTGCCTAGTTTCCGAACTGAAGAAACCATCCTCGCTAGGACTCGAACTCAAGATAGATTTTTGGAAGGTTGTAGCCTTTGTTCCTGTCACGTCTTAGCGCTGTTATTTTATCATGTTTAATTTCCCAGCTACAGAACCATCTTCACCGGGACTAGAACCTAGGATATTTTGAATATTCCAGCTGGGAAGGACACCTTTGCACGCAGCATGTGAAAAGGGTCACGTGGAAGTGGTTGAGTTCCTGCTCCACAACGACGTTGACCTAGACGCACGTGACGAGGACGGGGACAGCCCTCTACACACAGCTGCAGAAAACCAGCAGACCCACGTCGTACAGCTTCTCCTGGAAAGCGGCAGCCAGCCAGACACGGAGAGTTCCGTAAGCCCTTCCGAATGTTTCACCCACCCCCCACCCCCAATCTGGTTTTACGGTCAACAGTGAAAGTTGTATGACGAATACGATTTCAATCCCGTATCAGCCCAGAGTAACACCTGGGCTAAGAAGTACAAATCAAACTCACATTTGTTTCCTTTCTTCAGAAAGGATTCACGCCTCTGCACGTGGCTAGCAGTAAGGGCTGCAGAGGTATCATTGAAGCTCTTGTACAGCACGGAGCCTCCGTCAACCACCAAAGCAAAGTAATTATCATCGTATGTAAATAAATGACACGATCGATGTTCTAATATGGACCACAAGACATGCGAATTTATTCTGTCAAAAAGCAGTAAATTTTAGATTTCAGGCTCTGACGGCGGGGAGTATAAATTGGCTGTCTTCTGGCTTGTTGGTCTTAAGTTGCCCGATCACTTTTACGGCGAACTACAATCCCACTCAGAGAAAGAAATATTGTCCGCATTTTTCTTTGCGATATACCAAGACCTGATCCAAGGAAACCTACTGAAAGTCTTCATGTAAATCTACAAAGTCCACCGTCAACACTCGCAATAATTATTCTTCGACAAAGAACGGAGAAATTCTGCTTAGGATTTGTCCTGTGTGCACGTCAGTGGATTCCTCCGTGGTCCCTGTGTTTCAGAACGGCAACACACCTCTTCACGTGGCGTGCCAAGCGAACGAGACTCAATCAGCTGAGCTCCTCATTTCAAAAGGGGCAGACCTCAACGCGCTCAATGTGGTAAGAATTTCCGCCATGTTACTTAATCTGTAACGGTCACGACATAATCAGGGATCAGATTAGAAGTACATCTATAATAGTGTCTTACATAATCGTAACTTATGAGCTGACATTAAACCCATTAATCAATCTCATCTGCTGAGTTTGAAACTGAGCTGTTTCGTCCCTAGAGACTTCAGTCGCCAATTCACATCGCAGCTGAGCAGGGCTACACCGACATCTGCAAGCTGCTACTGGCTGCTGGAGCCAACATCAACCAGAAAGAGCAGGTAAGCACCGGCCACGGCGATCAAAATGCCGGCGAACCCAGCTCTTGCACATGACTGTACTCACATCTCGTACTTCGGTAAGATTTTAAAATGAGATTGTGAGATGCACTTCGGCGCGTTCGCAATGAGCTTTAAAATGTTCCTGTAGAACCTGTGAACGTATTTTCATTAAAATTTTACAGTGGAAAATTTTGTTAAAATCTGTCGACACGTCCCAGTACTTTGTTAATGACTGTACTTGGACAACAGAGGGACCTTCACGTAAAAACTAACACCCGTCTCTGCGCGCGCAAGTGACCTTCGAAAATTATTGTCGGAATCTCCAGTTATGTGGGGAAAATCTGGGGAATCCCCATGCTGACGTCATCAACTAACCAGACAGACAACAGACATCCCGCCCACCATACAACTCTGACGTCACCGGTGCTACTTCCGAATATTTGACTGCTTTATGCGAATACCACACAATACCCGTACTTTCTGTTCGCTGTAGTGCCGGCCTTGCATTGCCAATGTTGTCCTCAAAAGGCATGTGAAATTTATCAACACACAAAAAACGTACCTGCTTCTGTAACTTCCCCTTATTTCTTCCATAGCTGTCTCCCCCCTTTTCAAAAAAAAAAAATTCCGCTCCTACTAATAATGCCAAAATCGACAACTTCACTCCGTGAGAAACACAAATCTCGTAAAGTGGTTTACCACGGCCTCAAATTCATTTCTTTTCGAACATTTTGAATCCAGAATAGTTTGGGCCTAACTATATTCTTCTTCTTCTTCTTCAGGGTGGGAAGACTCCCTTGTACATCGCGGCCCGGGGTAGTTTTACCGCAATAGTTGACATGATCATCAAGACCGCTCGGTTAGACTACCCTGCACCTGTACGTAGTGGGCAAGACGAGGGCGTGGTCATCACCGCTGCATGCCGGATACCAGCACACCCCAACACCACCCAACACTACCAACACTACCAACACACCCCAGGATCACGTGTGGTTATTACCTGTTTCGTGTGACTGAATGTGATATCGCTTCATCCCAACATGGTTTCCGTTTTACTCTTCCTTTACTCCGTTTCTGTTAGTTCAAAACGGCCATTGAAATTCAAAGGCGAATTATTTATTTCGCTTTCCCATGCATTGTCCTTCTACAATTCTTTTACCTGTTTCGTACTTTTATCTCTTTAAGAAGTACGTCTGAAATCCGCCTAATAATAGCAGCACTTGTAAAAATACAACACTGCCATCTACAGTCATTACCGAGAACTTGGTCGGTCATGCATAACACACAAAGACAGCTTACCAACTATTAGTCTGACAATAGTCTCACACTAAACAGTGACTATTTCCTTAAAAAGCATTAACCAGTCGATATTTGTAATGGTGAAGAGTTGTGTTTTCTTTGCGGTACGGACTGGGTTCTTAAATATTATTTAGACGAGCTTCGGCTTCATAATGTTAAGAGGTGTGAGAACTGTATCAATAAGTTCCGAACTTCAGTAACAAATGCTTCTATGTTATCGTGAACATTGAACTAATCGTACTGTGACGTTTGCAGGAAGACGAAGACGGGACAGAAAACAACCTGAATGTACTCAATACGGCACGTCGGAAATGGCGTCACAGTGAATCGCGTGGTTCAACATCAGGGACGACGCAACATGACGCAAATGAGCGCTTGAGGGAACTTCTGTTTCGGGTGGCCTACAAACAACTGGCAGATGGAGACTGGAAGAATCTTGCACACCACTGGGCCTTCACGGCAGAGCAGATCAGGGCTATAGAGCATCAGTACACAGGCAAGCCCATCTCAATTTGATAGCCAATAGTCTCGTAATATCTTGCTACATCTTCATTTTCAGTCACAAATGTTCTCCTCTACAGGTCCGTACAGTTACAAGGAACACGGTTTCCGGATGCTGCTAATCTGGGTACACGGCTTGGGGCCTGAAGTCAACCCTGTAAAAGAACTCTACGAAAGCCTGGCATCTATTGGCAAGAAAGGGGTTGCTGGTACGTGACTCAGCACTCGGTCTCATGTTATCAACAACCAACGTTTCTTCGGTCAAATGAGGTGACAAAAGGCAGTTCAACGGGGAGTGAAGAATGCCACATACACGAATTCTGGTCTACTCTTAACAATATTATTTCCTTGCGTTCTAACAATCTCGATTTTACTATTTCGTTTGTTTTATATGCCCTCGTTCTCGCCTAAGTAATGAACTTCAGTCCGCGAAAAACTTAAAATAACCCTACTTCGATTTCAATTTCGCTGCTTAAGTTTGTGCGTCAAACACCTTCAACTATGAACATGACGCTGTGCAGTTCCACTGACATCAATAAATGACACCATAGTAGTAACGATATTCGTCCAGTGTATCTCCCATCACCAATTTGAAATCACTCATGTCAATCATTTACAGCTTTAAACTAAAAATAGAAATGTTAACGTAGTTAAACAATAATCAACGTAATCGGTACTTACTAAAGCAATCGGCATGATGACCTTCATGGCTTACAGCACCATTCACTAAATATCTGAAGCAAACTGTTCTGCCCTAGCTACAGGAGACACGACACGCAAATTTATAATCACAACTAAATAAGGTGTCACAAAACACACGTTTTTGAAAACAATGGCACGTGCACTCAGTTCTAAAATAACTATAACTCAATAATGCGACTAGTATGTTAGAAGGCAACTTTAAAATGAATCACAACTTACACATTCACCGTTAATGTCGCCACATGGCAGTCATTTCACACACACCTGTCCGAATTGTCCTATGAGACGGTCTTCTCATTGCAAAAGTCAGGGTGAACAACCCAAGCGAACATAAAGTAAAATTTAAAATCGAAGCGTCATTTACGTCACTCCTTGATCATAAGTCAATTGTTATCCTGCATCATACAAAATATATGAGAGTTTTTGAACGAGGTTAATTGATGGATTTAATAAAGATAAAAACATCTGAAACAAACTGTAACAATTAACTTCAGCAAAGTCCTCATTAAAATACAATTGTACCTTGTCACTAACGTTCACAAAAAGGTTATGGTTCATAAAAATTGTAAATATTGGAAGACATACCTCCTTTGATTAAGGTTGTATACTGTTCTGATCCCAGAACTAAAATCTTAAAAGCAGTCTTTTCAAAAAAAATGTACTACTCAGAATGAAAGTACTGAAAAAAAGTTCACCTTTGCTCTGTTTGTGAAGTCTACATGCTGTAGTATTTATCTAGGAAAACCAAGGTGGAATATAATTCTCCAAGGGAAAATTCTCTCCTTCGCAGAGCACAAACTTGGTCTCCAGCTTCTCACTGCATAGGAGGCCAGCATCCAACATTTTCAGGGCAGATAATTGTTAAACCACAAGCTTCTCTCTCTTTATACCTCATGCCACATGGCTTAGAACCAGAATGTATTTTTATTTTTACACTTAATGCCTCTACAACCCAGATTTTCATTTTTCAAATTAATTCTGACAATCAATACATTACCAAAGAACCCAACATACCGACTTCAGGAACACTTTTCAGCTGTCTCTTTCCATTCCAGATGCACTGCGGAAGAAACTGGATGAAGAAAATCAAGGAAAGTACAAGGGGAAAAGACGATGCAATGCTTGCAGTATCACTTAGCCCCATCCACACACCCTTGCCGCCGGACTTCACCTCGTACTGAATTACCAAATCTAACTTGAGAAGTGCAAAGGGTGCACCTCACAGCTCATTCTTGGATGGAACTGCATTGCGCTCGGTCCACAGAAATGTGCTCCGTGTACTCGAGCACAAATTTATAATGCGTGTATTTCTATGTCCAGTCTTACTGTCCATTGAACATATCAATAATTACATTATGCCAGAAAATAGAAATTCTTTCATTCCAGCACAATGTATCACTTATATAAGATACATTTTATACTTCAATTATTTGTATAAAGCGTCTTATTTGAGATCACGCTTTTATGAAAGAGAGCCGTCTTCCTTAGCCAAATGTGTCGATGTTTGTACCACTTACTTGCAGGAAATATACAAATGGCGAAACAATAAAAATTCTTCTTGACGATACATACACTGAAAATAATAAAAAAATTCCAACAACTATAAAATGTAAACTTGATGTCTTTACTTCACAAAAAACCAGGTAGGTTACAAAACACAGAAAGCCCCAAAATATTGCCGAACTGCATCTGTCGGACACGGTGCAGGTAGTGACAAGCCGACACAAAACGTCCGATGACGACATCAGAATGGACAAATCTCTCATTTATCGCCAATATCAGTTCTTCACCTTACTTCTTTCTTTCCATCCTTTTCAGTGAAAAAATCAAGAAGTATCACACGAATTAAGAAAAACATGTCTCCCCTCTTGATGCAACCACTGACAATAATCACAAAAAAAAAATGTTAAAAATCAAGGTGGGTGGGGAAAGGTAAATGACTCCAGAAAATGAACACGATTTACACATTCAATTTGAAGGCGTGTAACAAATTCCATGTAATAAAGTATCAGTATTAACAAAACAAACGCTCATCATACACGCAAGAAACATATTCAATCAGCTACATACAAAAAAATTTCTATCCAAACTAAACGTCTTTCAGCTAACGCCAGTAACGTCAGTTTCCTTTTTCTTTTTTTTTCAAACTCTAAAAACACATTCAAAGCTACTGAAACAAAACACATATGTGGGACCCTTGTCAAAAGTATGAATACTCAATTTAAAATTAAAACTGGGACGCTGACACCTAATAACTTCAAGGTGAATTTTAATCCTATTTATAGGATAATTACTGTAAAACCTAGTTAATTACTTCCGCACTTACCGAAAATTACCTAATGCAAAAAAAAATATATATATATTTCCTAATACTCTACGCTAAAATAGCTGGAAATTTACGACATACTGTAGGATATTTTTTTCCATCAAAATAAACAGAAAAATTAACAAGGTTTTACTGCAACTCCTCGCTGATACGTGCATACAATTCCTTAGTCTATACAAAATGGTCTTCTTGTCTTGCGCCGCCCGCTTCAACTTACATGCGGCGATACGGGTGGAAACTTGGGGCTTGGCTGGGCTGACTGTAGTTGCCTCCTCGCTGTGGTCCTGGCCCCCCCGTGTAACTTGAACTCGCCACACCTGTGTCGCCCTGCCCTGCGTTAGTACAATTGGGAGAATTCTTTTTGATGCATTTCTTGCGCGCCAGTAAAAATCCTAGGAAGGACACGGGAAAGGTTAGGAGTAGGATGGGAGCGAAGCACCCCATGGGCATACCATTACAGAGAATTTGCACTTTGTAACATAAATCATTAAAGAAGCGAGCAATTAAATGAGTTACCATTTTCAATTAACGCTATATAACCTGCTCAAATCAGCAGTACTGATGAATTCTTACCACGCATGCAGTATTTTAGAATTACATCACGCAAAAACCAGCCGCGACAGCGACATCCAAGTAATAACATAACAAATACAATTCATTATATCTGACACACGTAGCCAATAAAATTATTTGAAACAGTTGACGATGTGAAGGAACTGGAAACCTGTCATGAAAGATGAAATTTACACCGATTTGGCACATTTTACGCTCACGAACATATTCCTAAATGTCAAGTGTCTTACTTCAGTAACAATTCAATCGTGGCCGCACCTGCCTTTGGATTGATCATTACCGATGGATTGAAACGAGTAAATCTGCGAATTTACAAACTTCTGAACGTGTTATATTCATTACGTTTACCCCCTTCGAGACCAACGTCAACCAGAATTTGACACGGTAATAAAAGAACAAAATGGTAACCTACAGCTACACTCGTTCATTACTCCCAAACACTTTCTTCCTTCAGTTACGAGTAACAAAAGTGTCGCAACAAGACACAAAATAATATAGTAACTCGTGGTCGATTACGTGGAGGCGATTAAAAAGTCTTGCGCATTTGAGACCTCTCTGGACACCCTCCTGACAAAAAATGTTGATGGATCATGTAATTCAAGAATATTCCACAGAGATGAATCGTAACTTGCATTACGTACTATTCTTATAATCAAAATTCAATACGTGGGAGCTGCCAACATCACTTGGTACGTTCTCCATAAAATGTATCACATGATAAAACCCAACAAGCCTCTTATTAACATACCAGTGGTGGTTAAACCGAACATTAATTAAACTTAACGTGAGATACACTTTTGTACAAGGCTAAAGAGCAATTTGAATATTTTATTTGAATTTTTAATCGTGCGATTCGGGGTAAAATGCAGCGACGCTAAGACAAGATCGTCGCCCCGGCACCGCAAACTCCTTTAAACTTTAGGAATGTCAACTTCAAGTGATACTGACGGAAAAGCTAAGAGGAACGCACGGCGGTGTGCAGACTTGAGTCGATTTACTAGGGGAAATAATAGCACCGCCTTCAGGGAACTGCATTTACCATGTAACGACAAATGGTATATATACATGGCTTTGCAAATGGTTACCTAAAACAACTCACACTGCAAGTACAATTTTAGGCCCCATTCATTTACCAACGATTTCAAAAGTTCAAATAATTTACTTAGCTACCAAAAAAAGCATTTAAATAATTTAAGCCTTAAAACAATCAAACTTAAATTATGCAACACCACAATGAGCAGACTGGCCTAGCTAATTTGTGAGCCGACAACTGCGAACATTCGACAGCTTTTCCGAATCATCATCAATGTGAATGTCATTATCATCCAGTTACTTGAACTTGTCCACTCCGACGCACAGATTACAAAATTAAACGACTAAAATTTCAGGGGCCTAATGTACTCGCAATGTCAGTTTCAGAATATTTACAAAGCTGCCTGAAAGCATGCAAAGACAACGGGTGGAAAAAAAGAAAAGCACAAACTCTATTTTTAGTACTTCAGCTATTTACTTCCTCATAAGCTCTACATGAGAAAAGATTCTGAATTTTAATACAATACAAATTTTACAAAAAAAAAAATAATTAAAATGAAATAAACAATGTGCATAAAAGTTAAATGCCGAGTAGCGACACACATCTCGTACGTAAGCAGCCTGAAAAAGCTCCGATGTAACCGCTTACACCGAGCATGCAAATTCAGCCTTGCTTACGACTTCATGAGAGTGATTTATAAAAATTACAACGATTTTAGTTCAATCACTGATATCGCCGCAAAGCAGTCACAATAAAGTGGTTAAAAAAACAACCTTGACCAACAAGCGGTCAATATTCTGTCACCTCAACAGTCTCACACACATTTACACGCTGAGATTCATAGTAATAATACTAAGAAGGGACAAGTCAAAGTAACCAATAATTAATAATAACCTTCGCTTTAAAAATTATCTACTTATGTACATCAGTCAAGAGTAAAAGTAAGCAAAGCCATGATTTTTCTAGCGATCTTTTTAAAAAAAGAACCTAGCCAATCTCTAATTTCAATTTATATATCATGAAACAACCCTAATTAATCCCACAGGCGCTGACTTGAAACTTCAGTCACACCAAATTAATCTCCGCTTATTACCAGTCTATCACAAATTCGAAACGTCATACCACAAGGAAACGTCGGTCGTGTCGATCGGAAACGCGGGCCATCCTTAAAAGACGCAGACCTGCCCCAATATCCCAGACAAGAAACTTATACTCTATTACTCATGTACATGGGCAGCGCTGCGCAACGTACCCCCTTTTAAAAATGGCAACCTGAAAAATATTACACTAGGAATTATAGACAATAGTTAGGTATGAATTTCAGTCCCCTCCCTCCAACATTCCGCATTACAACCTATTAAGTCAGCGCCTATGGTCATACCATGACATGACATCACAAATTTGAGGCCAGTCTGTCACGATGATGGCCACTCTTTAAAGTCAAATGGCTTTGGCCCACCTGGTACAGGGGGATGGCCGGAGTAACCGCCCCCTGTCTGGCTGGTACCATCGCCAGCATAATTCCTTCCTGCAGTGTAGCTTGATGAATCCTGCAAATATAAAAAGAAACTCAAAATCCGTTTCTAAACGTCACATACAACCTAGAAAATAAAGATTATTCGAAAATTAAATATCCTTTTCTTATTTCAAAATATGTCCTTTGCACATTGACATTTCCGGGCAGAAAAATAATAGAGTAACATCATCAGCAGATGTGTTTAGTACGGGACGCACTTCTTTCCGACAAGTTAGTAAACATGTAGTATAGTGATTTAATAACCCCTTCCCTTCCCTGCCTGCCAGCATGATGTACGAAACCCTAGCTCAGTGGTCCCCTATGTGGTGCCCGCGGGCACCATGGCACCCGCCAAGGCTTTTTTTGGGTGCCCGCGTTGTTACGGAAAGAGGTTATACTGAATAATGAAGGCCGTTCAACCACGAAAATTATAAAATCAAAGCACAGATCTCGACTTACTGACGCCCATCTTGACGACTGTTTGCGAGCAGCAACATCATCCTACACTCCCAAATTTGAAAAACTGGCCGATGAAATGCGGTGCCAAACATCACACTAACTTCCCACTTGAGTAATAATAATTGTACTTATAAAACTAAGTATTTTTGATTGCATGGTTTCTTGTATTATTAAACGTCGTGTTTTTTTGTGTATTATTTGGTGTCCATATCTTATTTGTCCAGAGAAAAGAAAATTTGGCTTTGTTAATTGGTTGGTGCCCACCACGATCTCATAAACTCTCAAATGTGCCCGCAGGCACAATAAGGTTCGGGACCACTGCCCTAGCTCATGCAATAAAATTCAATGCTGCTGTCAGCTATTAATTTAAATTCCAATAAAAATCAAAATTGACCGTCTAGTAACTTTAAGTGCAACAAAACACACAGAAATCTATTCAGGAATATCGAAGGATGGACGGACACGGACAACCTTCCCACTTTTCATTCTTTCCATACAGCACACATCAACAGACTGCGAGTTCATAGTTCTTTAATATTCCCACCAGTACCATTGCGCTACTGCTCCGGATAGAATGCTGGGTAGGCCCCAGAGTTCTGGATACAGCAACTAAAATAAAAATCCTTTGCTCCCGCCTGGGATCAAACCCCTCGTCATCCAGTCTGTAGTCGTACAACACTGACTGGGCTACCTCCACTCTTACTGGTACATCATAATTTTTGAAACTTGCAAGCAATACCTCGTCACATGACTGAATAACGCATTCTTACTTTGATGACAAGTATAAGGCAAAGTCCTACGTAAGCAATAACAAGAGAGCTACCCGAGCTGCATGGGGTGTCATATGAAGCGGGGAATCGCTTGTCATGTCCTACGTGAGAGACCTCAACAGAAGCACACGGCCTTCCTGCACATGCACCTTCCGTGTACTGTACGGTCAGAGCTTTCTTGCGCATGCGCCTTACTGGCCAGTGCAGCGACTCGCGCGAAAATATCAAAATATTTGATCTCAGACTTTGACCACTTCCCTCTCCTGACCTCTTCGCTGGAACCTAGGACAGCGCCACACAAATAGCCAGTTTGATATTTCCGCTTCAAAAGCACAACTCGCATTTAATCGCTCACGTAGGACAGCAGGTAAAATGCACACAAAAGCAGGCAGAATATAAAAAGTATTTCGTGTAATTAAATGGGCAAAATTGAAAAAAGCTTCAAGATATGAGCACAATTGAATGGTTCTTTGTGTTACTTACCTGGTAACCACTGTAACTGCTATAACCACCTCCATACTCGCTTCCCGACTTTTGTTGGCCTGCTGTTGAACCCCCAGGCGCTGCGGGAGCAGCTGGTGCCGTTGCAGTTGGACCAGGCGCTGATCCACGAGAATACATGTCACCTGAAACAAGAAACGTGACAAATACCGTCTCCTGAACCTTTTTCCCTGCCTAAAAATAATTCCTGACTGTACAGCCACAAATCATTTTTTTAGTTTAAATATACCAACCTCCAAACACCATAATTTTCTTCTTAAAACGTAAATATATACCGCACGCTACAACCACGATTTTTTTTCTTCAGAATATACTACAGCACTTAGGCGACTTTTTAATCACTTACATCGGAATGTCAACACAGACTGATAATATATAATGGCGTCCATACTGGGCAACATCGAGACAGGCTGACGAGCGGTTAAAGTAACCCATTTTATATTTTCAATTGTCACCTACAGCTGACAGTCAAGATTTAAGTCACTGCCTTCTGGATCTGACAGTCATATACAACTTCCATTTTGTCATACAACTGAAAACACAATTCACTTTAAAAGTGATCACTGCCACAGCACGCACATGGGAGATTTTAAAGGCCACTCCAGGCACAGCACATCGTCATTCAAATGCCAACTCCACAAACAAGTCCTGCAGAATGTAAGATTTGAGGTTTTCGCAGCAGAGAGTATGAAGATTTCTGTCTTCTGGGTTGTTGCTCCGTGTAGTCTTGTCAATGTTAACCAGCATTTTGGAGGTCAATTTTCATCGCCCTGATGACGGAGACAGTATGACCTCCGAAATGTTGGTTAACATCGACCAGACTACACAGCGCAACAACCCAGAAGACAGAAATCTTCAAGTTGTACAGAAGCTGAAAACATGCTCAGCTCATCAAGAAATTCCCTGCATTTAAAAGAATATAAAGGTTTAATGCCACGTTCAGAAAATCCCACCAATGGTACCTATTCTGAATCAGGTGAATCCAAACCACGCTCTTCAACCCCATGTCTCTAAAATCGATTTTAATGTCATCCCCACCATCTAGACCTATGCATTCCAAGTGGTGTCTTCCCTTCAGGCTTTCCAACAAAACTATTATACACAATTCACTTTCACCAACCCCATTCGCCCTCCCCCACCTTGATCCGGTCATCCTAGTATTTGGTAAACAGTGCAAAGTATGGCATTTCTCGCTACGTAATACTTCGGCAATTTAACATTGCCTTATTCTATTTTTTTTATCAAGACAATCACTTTTTGCCCTAGACCAAAGTTTTTTGCTTGAAGAAACAAGAAAAATGTCAACACAAATTACATAGCCTACTCACCCTGAGGGCCAGGGGGGCCTTGAGAGGGTCCTGGTGGGCCACCAGGAGCTGGGGGGCCATTCTGAGGCATATTCCAATTCCAGTTCCCCCCATACCCTGATTGTGGACCTGCCTGTGGGGGCCCTGAAATCACACCAGAAGGCGGACTGCATTGATAGTCGTTCCATCCGACATATCCTTATTCTGAGTCATTATGCATAACATTACTAGGTAATACCTGTTCAACAATTATGAAGAATTACGCTAATGCTGCACCAGTGGAAAGACTTACAATATGGTACATCCTCAAGGACCTCACACACCTACTGGTGGCCGCACACGCTCTGGCTGGCCGGAAGCCTTATCTCCCTGAAGGCAAACATTCCGGCAAACCGGAGCGTGTGGTGAATTTGGCCGGAAACCGAGCCTCCGTTAAATCTGCAGTCGCCTCGAGGATTACTGAATGTTTAGAAGTCGTAACATGTGTGGGCAGAGAAAAGGGTAAAGGCAGGGCTTGTAGCATTTAGTCATCTCAACCAGCCACCGAGTACTTCAAATCCTCGTAGTTTAACTAAGCTTAACAGTTCCAAATACGTTTCCTCATCCATCGCAGGTAGTTATGCCAGTCCGTCGGCTCTAATCGAATTTCATTCAACAAATGTATGTGAGAATGTTTTGATCCATCTAACCAACTTCTGGCCCACTTAGAACGTTTCAACTTTCTTTTCTTTTTCAACATTAAAGTACCGGCAAGACCAATTAAAATCGTATCGTCCTCTGAACATGTTGTAGCATCGACCGAAGAATAAAAAGACCGAGCGCAAACCTGCCACACCGGCTATAAATTGGAAGGCAGGCCTTCCGGCAAGCCGGAGCATGTGTGGCCACCCTAAAACAATATGACCAAAAACTGGGGGCCATGGGATTTAAGGTTCTCACGGCAGCGAGTACAAATATGGCCGTGCCGAATACGAGCTACAAAGCCATTAGATTATACTGGAGCATCATGTTGTGCATGTAGTCATATTAATTAGCAGACTAATTTATAATGTGAGCTATAAAGGCATGCAAACATACTCAAACGTAAATTGCATCACAATGTGTTTTGTGGACTTCACAACTATGAGAGGATCGCATGGAGTCGATCCAATGTACACTTTATTTTTGTAAGATTTGAGGTTTTCGCAGCGGTGAGTATGAAGATTTCTGTCTTCTGGGTTGTTGCCTCCGTCATCACCCTGATGACGGAGGCAGTATGATCTCTGAAACGTTGGTAACCATCGGCCAGACTATACAGCGCAACAACCCAGAAGACAGAAATCTTCTTTACACTTTATTTGAAAAATATCCTACACAGATATAAAAATCGTCAACCTAGCCAATATTGGTGGCTGAATCCATTATTACCGTACATACAAGATTTGAGCCGAATCGCAACGTACCGTAAGAGCCATATCCCTGCTGTTGTGGTGGCCCACCATAGTTAGAACCCCACTGTGGTGGTGGCATCTGTTGTCCTTGAGGTCCTGGAGGAGCACCCCAGCCTTGGTAGCCGCCTGGACCGGACGGAGTGCCATATCCTGCTTTCAAAATAATTAATATAAGGTTTAATATTTTTTTTAATTTCACAAGCTAATTCTCACTAGGCAGAAGCAGAGCCATGGTATTTAAAAAAAGAGAGAGAAAGATTCAATGCAGAAGTGTGTGCTGTTCAGTAAAAAAGTCTCCATCTTATGACTGGTGAAATCACAAGCCTCTGTACTCTAGCCTTCAAATCATCATCTCACACACACAAAAAATAAAAACCACACGTCTTTCTCTCCAATTAAATAAACTCCTTATATATAAAATGCATATACAGGCAGGAAAACTTCGGTGTTTCAGGCATACATCATAGGAGGGTGGACTGTACATTTAATCGTTTACACGAATACAAAAATGAGCTAGAAAGCAATGCCTCAATTTGCATAAATTCCGGACTGTGAAGAGACAGAAAGACGAAACTGGTCGTGTTTTAGTTGGACATCCCCCACATCGACATGAGCACGTGCAGCGAAGTACGACGACACATAAGAGTGAACTGAAATGCACGCACGGCAGGTTGAGACGAGGAAAGTCAAAGAAAAACAAACTTTTTATTGACGGCAGAACAGGCAATATTTTTCATTGCAAGGTTTGAGCCAGATAGATGTCTTACTCACTGCGGAGGTGAAAGCAAAGATTACGCATTTAGAAGGAAAATTTACAGTGCTGTGCGATGAACGAGATGAATTTCTTTATAGTATTGTGACTGGAAATGAGATGTGGGTAAACAATTATGACCTCAAAATAAAGTGGTCAATGTAACATCAATATATTTCATAGCGGAAAAGAAAAGTTATAGCCTCAGCTGGAATGGTAATAAATACTTTCTGAATATTTGAAAAAAAGGGGGGATAA